AAAATAATTATGTCCCTTTGGTTGCTGTTTACAGATAAAGTAAGGAAAAAAAATCCCTTCCTGAGGTAGATCAGCTGTGTGGGTATGGGAAGATAGTGGAGAAATGGGGAAGGTGAGTTACCCATACTGAACAGCTCTGCTGAGTAAACAAGCTGAGCTGGACAGGAACGAGGGCAGAAAGAAGTCGTGGGAGAGTCCCTGCTCTGCCAAGTCCTGCAGCTCCACCATCCCCCACTGTGGCTTGGTGACTCTGATGAAAGTGGGTAGCAGTGGGTGTCCAGGTGACCCTTCAGCTGTACCTGAAATGGCCCCATGGCCCTATCTTCTCCCTGGTGTTGCCTTGTTTCTCTTTGGATATACTTAACTGCTATTTGTCACAAGGTTGGCATTTGAAATGTCATGGGATTGCCATTTAACAAATGGCACTCCTGTGCCAAGGAAAAGGTCTGATTTTTCCTTCTTTCTGTTTATAAATAAACTTTTATTTATACAACTTTTATAAATATTCAAAAGTTTTAACATGATAATAGGGCTCAGATTTTTAAATACATTATATAACCTAAACACTATATCTACAAATTATAACATGCAGAATGGTATTAATTTTTTTTTAATCCTGACCTGAGGATATGTTTTTATTGATTTTTAGAGAGAGGAGGGGATAAAGAGAGAGATAAACATTGACGTGAGAGAGAAACATCAATCGGTTGCCTCCTGTACATGCCCCAACCAGGGCACACTAGGTATGTGCCCTGACTGGGAATTGAGCCCACAGCCTTTTGGTGTATGGGATGATGTTTTGACCAATTGAGCTCCTGGCCCAGATTAAGAGTGTCACACTTTCTAAATTCACTTGTTAAGTTTGGCATCTAAAGTTGTGTCTTGGCCCTGGCTGGTAGCTCAGTAAGTCAGAGCATCGTCCTCATACACCAAGGTTGCAGGTTCAATCCCTGGTCAGGGCACATACAAGAAACAACCAGTGAGATTCCAAGGTGGCTGTAGAGTAGCTGGGAGCTGTTCAACATCACTAATCATCAGAGAGATGCAAATTAAAATCACAATGAGATATCACCTCACACTTGCCAGAATGGCTGCCATCCAAAATCAACAAACAAGTGCTGGTGAGGGTGTGGAGAAAGGGGAACCCTAGTTGGTGGGAATGCAGACTGGTGCAGACATTGTGAAAAATAGTATGGAATTTCCTCAAAAAATTAAAAATGGAATTGCCTTTTGACCCAACGATCTCACTTCTGGGAATAGAATCCTGAAACACCCATCAGAAAGAATATAGGAACCCCTATGTTCATAGCAGCGTTATTTACAATAGCCAAAACATGGAAACAGCCCAAGTGCCCATCAGGAGATGAGTGGATAAAAAGTCGTGGGACATTTACACCATGGAAGGCTAAACAGCTGTGAAAAGGAAGGAACTCTTACCTTTTGCAACAGCATGGGTGGACCTGAAGATTATTATGCTAAGTGAAATAAGCCAGTCACAGAAAGACAAACATCGTATGATCTCTCTTATGTGTGGGATCTAATGAACAAAATAAACTAACGAACAAAATAGAACCAGAGGCGTGGATACGTGGAACAGACTGACAGCTGTCAGAGGGGAGGGAGGTTAGGGGACTGGATGAAAGAAGGTGAAGATTAGCCGAAGAATATGTATGCATAACCTACAGACACAGACAACAGTGTCGTGATGGCCAGAGGGAGGAACGGGAGGCGGAGGCTGGGTGGAGGTGGGCAAGGGGGGAAATGGGGACATCTGTAATAGTGTCATCAATAAAAATAAAGTTAAAAAAGAAACAACCAATGACTGCATAAATAAGTGGAACAACAAGTCAATGTTTCTTTCCCTATTTCTCCCTCTCCCTCTCTCTAAAATCGATCAATAAATTAAAAAGCATGTTCCTTTTCAAGTTGTGTCTTGCACACGCAAAATACTTATAAGTATCTACATAAGATGTGAACTTTAATTTGATTTTACTCTTGTAGATGAGTCTTGGGACAGCATTGACACTTTGCTGGAATCTAGCAGTTGTATTCCAATCAGGCCATACCGTTAGTCTGGGTTCTCATGAGAGCTACAGAGAAAAATGTTTGAAAACTAGCTCCTTTGAAGATGCCTGCAAGGGACAATGAGAATGTGTACTTCCTCTCAAGAGTTTATCTTGCTTTCTTTTCTGAGAAATGCTTTATGGTTTCTAAAACCAGTGACAATGATAGTGTTGAGAAGCAAAGTAATGTAGTAAAAATGAAACAAAAACAAAACCCATAACCACTGGTGTTCTAATGTGCTTAACATGAGAATCTCTCATTTCTTTAAAGCCAAAGTAAATTAGTGAATTATGGATTTTCAAAAAAGGTCTTTCAAATATTATTTACTCTACTCTCAAAGAAAATTATTGAATCTTCTCTACACCATTAGTATTTTATTCTATTTCTACTAAGGACTAAACATCTGAGCAATGTTTTCTCATAACAGAGCTCGGTATCAAGGCCCTGGTGATCCTCAACAGACCCAGAACTAGAACCACCCGCTGTCCAGAGGTGGTGGGGTGGGTGCCATGGTATTAGAGTTGACTGCAAGTGCTGGGAGAAGACTCGGGCTGGCAGGCAGAACCCGGACTCTCGTGGCTGTGGAAATGTGTCATAAGGACAGAATAATCATCGGTATCTGTGGGATCCATGATGATGGAGCACAGTGGTGGCAACTCCAGGAGGTTGTGTTTGCAGACACAAGCTGACAGGATAATAGGTCAGGATGCAGCCCAGTCTGTAATGAGTTTCAGGGACAGGACTGTCAACTACATATTCTGGTCTATAAAGACCCTAAACCTGACCTCAACCTGCAGCTCTACCCTCATGATGGGCCACCTTCCTTCTCACCCTCAATACTCCCTCCCATCACTATGGCTTTTTTTCCAAACCCAGAATGCCAAGCTCCTTGGCACCCCAGAGCCTTCGTCATTCAGACTCCTGCTTAATTGTCCCCTTCTCATGGAGGCTTTCTCAGGACACTCTCTACCACATAATTCTGGTCCAATTATCTGCATAACCTTGAGAACCTTCCCCTTATTATCTATATCCTCTCCACTATAGCATAAGCTCCGTGATAGCAGGGTGTCTGTTTGTCCTGTTCCTGTTGTATGCAATAACCCCAGTCACATGAAGGGAAAAGGAAGGAAGCTTGTTTTGGAAATGTAAGATTACAGAGATGATAGTCAGAACATGAGTGATCTGCTTTAAACATGCAACTTTGCCTCAAGTGTAGAGGAAGCCTGGCAGACCTGGTCTAATCTCAGAGAAGAGGGTCTCAACTGTTCTGCATGACAATGGGGACGCTGATCTGGGGACAGCTTCTGAAGATGCGCAGAGAGCATAGCTATCCACCCAAATGCAATGGAGTGGTAGCCTTGTGCCAGGCACTGTGGTGGGAGGAAACTAAGAAGGCAGCAAGTTGGACTAAGAAAAGAATAATAGGTTTCTTGCCGCTTCTCTAACAATTCACTCTGTTCTGTAGGCTACTAATTCTTCCCGGACAGATAAAGCAAACCTAGTTGATGGGTGCCAACAGCCACCAGTTCATTGTGATCTGCTCACCCAGACTCCAAATCCAGATGCCCTGCTGGTAGTGAAGTGACCAGCTAAGGACACACCAGTTCTCTTAAGGTAGCAGAGGATGGTTGAGTCACGGAATACAATCCTCAGTCTAAAACTCCTCATTCATTCAAATTCTTAAATTATGTACAGCAGTTATTTGTTGTCTAGTTCCAAAGTTGCAATGTAAGAAGTTATCTCTCCCATTGAGTATTCACTTAATAGGCATGCCCTGTCTGGAAAGGTGCTTTACATATGCTACTCAATTTACTTGGCTCAACAGTCTCGAAAAGCGAGCACTATGACCCTGCTTTTATGATCAAGGATGCTGAGTCTTAGAGGCGCTAACTTACTGCACACACACACTTCACCTAACTTCAAAGGCCATGCTCTTTCAAGTACATCTTACCTCGCCCTGGAACCACAGAGAGTAAGGCTCAGTTTCCCAGAAGTGGGTACAGTTTGTGTCAAAACAATGCTATTCTGAGAAAACTGAAGGTGGAGGAAACAGCATGTTGGTTAGCTGTAGCTGCAGTTTGAAATGCCTTTGGTTCGAGCGGTATTTTCAACTCCTCCCCACTCCCCGCTGATCAACTTGGTGGTCACTGAATAAGAATTTGACACTCCTCCAGGTACCGACAGTATAAGGATGTACCTGGAAAAAAAAAGGCGGAAGTCAATATAATACATTTAGTCTAATGTCCTTTATGTCTTACGGGAGATCCGGCAGAGGAGAGAACAGTCAGGGCGAATGTGGTTGGGAGTTCTGTCCAGAAGGGGGACAGAAAGACAGACATCAGGGAGGTGCTAGAACCTGAGCTGGGCTTCCTCACGAATTAGCTTATGAGAGCAAAACCAGAAATCTGTGTTGCTTGTAAGTGATCAGGGATTTTTTGGGTAACTGTTTGGTCTTACTGGGAGTGGACTTGGGAACTAGGGTGGCTGCAATAGAGGAAACTCTGCTTTTTTATCCGTTTGCCCAAGTAAGGAGTGCTGTTTGCACTGGGCGGCTACATTGGGGCAGGAGTGGTGAGGAAAGTCCCGGGGCTCCTTGTCGGCTGGGTGGACACAAATGTTGCAACAGAACAGAGTCTATCCTCAATCAGAGTCATGAATTGGGGGAGAATGGTCACCAGTGCAGCAGCTTCGGGGAGGGGGGGGCACTGGAGGTGAATAGTGTGTGTGATTGGGTCTCTTTGCCAGCCAGGGCTGGTTTGGTGTGAACAAGAAAGCGAAAGCTCACAGGGCCAGAGAAGCCCTCTTCCCTTTTTTGAAGTTACTTCTTAGCAGAGTGTAAAGCCCCAGCCCCCAGTCCCCCGAAAGCACCCCAGGAGCGGGCCGGCGGAGAGGCTGAAGCGTCGGGCCGCACAGTGCGCCCTGGCTGCAGGGAGCCGATGGAGAAGTTTCGGACGGTCCTGGACGCGTTCCTCAAGCACCGCAACACGCTGGGCTACGGCCTGCTGTCGCTGCTGACGGCGGGCGGGGAGCGCCTCTTCTCCGCCGTGGTGTTCCAGTGCCCCTGCAGCGCCGCCTGGAACCTGGCCTACGGCCTGGTGTTCCTGCTGGTGCCCGCGCTCGCGCTCTTCCTCCTGTTCTGCGTGCTGACCGCGCGCGCCGGGCGCCTGCTGACCGCCTGCTGCGCGCCGGGCGCCTGCCCCGGCTGCGGC